TGTGTGGCTCTTGAAGGGACATGTCTCAGGTGAGGGACAGCAAGGCCAGTGGTCAGATGGCCACAGAACAGCAGTGTCTGGTGGGACTTGAAGCTGAGACTGTTGGAGGGAGACAAGAGGGAAAGGAGGCCAGGCCAGTACGGTCTGACGTCCACCATGACTGACACCTGATGACTCGGCTGTGCCTCTGAGTGAGGTGAGATTGATGTGACTGTGTTGGGGACACCTGGAAGGATTGAAATAAGGACAGGAGGTGGTTGTGCATTAATGCTCTGTGACAGAAGCCTCCACAGAGATGTTTGAAGCTGAAGCTTCAAGTTCCAGTGGGGAAAGGCAGCAATCCTTCCTTCTTTGGTGCCCTTAGTTATTGTGATGTGTCTGATTTTTATGGGCTCTCCCATCCCCTCTAACTACTGGTGTTGAGCATGAGTTTGCCTTGTAGTGTGGCTAGTCTCATTGGGAGGTGGAGGAAACATGCCAATGCCCCCAAGTGTGCAGGAAGTAATGTTGAGCATCACTGCTTTAAGGCATAACACACTGACAGGATGACGGGCATGGAAGAAAGGTGGGCGCACTGTTGGTGTTTGGGCTCTGGTATTTTTTTGCTGGAGTTAAGATCCCCTTAGTGACTTAATTCAAGTTTTATCTTCTTAGGTATGGAATCGCAGGAAGTGTGAACGTGACAGGAGATGAGGTGAAGAAATTGGCCGTGCTCTCCAATTCCCTGGTCATCAACATGCTTCAGTCCTCCTACAGCACCTGTGTTCTGGTCTCTGCAGAGAATAAAGAAGCCATTATCACAGCCAAGGAGAGGAGGGTGTGTCCCTGGGCCAGCTGCAGTGCCGCCACTCACCAGGAGTTGGCGCTACTGGGCTGGGAGCATGCTGGTCTTGATTCCTCTTCCTTTTCTGGGATTTTCTTCTATTTCTGAACATTTGTTTTCTGGAAACACAGGATTTCTCTGTTCTTTAGTTGGAAATCTTACGTTGTCTGGTGTCTTCGTGGGTGGATGTCATCATTAAACAGGCATCTTTTCGTGTTTGGACTTGCAGAGTCCCACGAAAAGGAGTTTACTTTGGGGGACCATTTTCCTCTTTCTGGGAAGAGCTGTGCAGCGCGTTCTTTTCTTCATCCCCCTTCTGCTTTCTTCTCTCTGGCCTTCACTACACCCTTCCTTAAGAGGGCTGTGATTCCCTGGGAGGGTGGATCATTACATGCCTGACAACGAGTCACTCAATCTAGGAAATGAATCATAAAGACCCTGTGCTCTTGATCAAGTTAGCTAGTGTAGGGCTTGGAGAGGGCTTTTATTCACTGAGTTCACAAACAACTTATTAAAGAGGGAGGTTTGATGGTGGCCAAAAATTCAGCCTATGTCCAGTTGTGACACACTATTATATGCTAAACTATTGGTTCTTGTTATATATTGGATATTAGGGATGAGGAATAACGTTTTGTAATTAGTTGGAAGGACAGAAGAGATAAAGCGAAGTCAAATTTATTGGGCAGTACTGCAAACCAGGTATTGTGCAAGGCCCTATTTACACCTGCCTAACAACCTAAATCACACCTATTATTTTCCACCTTCAATTCCAACAGATATGGCCCATTCCTCTCTCCACTTTCTGCTCCCCCTGTATGTGCACTAAATCTTGGAAGTGTTCCATGCCTGCTTTCTAAGTGCCAGGAGCACTTGATAATCACTCTGCCTGGAATTCTACCTAGTTCTCCATATGTCTTGTTTCCTTAATTCCAGTCGTGTCTATCATCAAATGTTATCGGGTCCCTACTTTCTACCCCCTCACCCACTTAGGTTTTCTTTAGAACACTTGCACATCTCACTTATGGATATGCTTGCCCGTGTGCTGTGTTTCTGCAGTTGAATACCAACTCCAACAAGCGAGCCTTGCAGAAAGTGATTCTCAGTGTATTTTCCAGCATTGGTTTGATGATTAACAGATACCTGTTGAACTCTGCCCATAAGCAATAGCATTGGCGGGGGGTACATCCCCATGGCTCTAAATCTCTTGTTGCTGTAGATGCAGAGCAACTGTGCTGATTGGATGGTTTTTCTCTCTGTGATTTAGGGGAAATGTTTGGTTTGCTTTGACCCCCTGGATGGATCTTCCAACACTGACTGTCTGGCCCCCATTGGAACCATATTTGCCATCTGCAGAAAGGTGAGTAGACATCTTTTCGCCAGGTCTGTGGACTGAGAATTGAGTCTGGAGCCCTCCTTTGTCCTCTACTCACTAGATACACCACTGTAGGCAACCTGGAAACCTTCCTCTCTCTACCTCAGACTCTCCACTGGGAATTCTCCATCTGCCTTCTTCCTAACATTCTTGGGAGGGCAAAGTAACCAAGATTCCCATGGGGCCTTGTTTTGAACAGCTGAATAGAACACAGATATCAGATATGGTACAGATTGAATATACTTTATACAAAATGCTTGGAACCAGAAGTGTGCAGGATTTCAGATTTTGAAATATTTGCATATACATAATGTGCTGTCTTAGAGATGAGGTCATATAAGGAATTTTCCATGCATGGCCTCACGTTGGCACTTAAAAAGTTTCAGTGTGGAATTCTGTTTTATTTATTTTTGAAACAGTGTCTTGCTAGGTAGCTCTGGCTGACTTTTAATTTACAATCTTACTGCCTCAGCCTCCTGAGTGCTGGGGGTTATAGGCATGTGCCACCATACCCAGAGAAGGGTTTTAGATTTCAGATTAGGGATGACCAGCTTGAATTAGGCGTTAAGAACCTCTGTTCCCCATCTCTCATTGAGTGTCAATCTTACTGTAAGTTGTCTGTAAGCTGTAATAATGTATCACTTGCTTGGAGGCTTAAAAATAACACCTGCTGATTATATCTCTGTGTAGTAAATAAACTCTAGCGGGCTTAGCAGGGTTATCTGCTTAGGGACCCATAAGTCTGTCAGTCTGATCTCTTTATTATCTAGAGGTTGGGATGAGGAGTGGGGAGAATTTGCTTCTGGTTGAGCTTAGGTTGTTGGTGCGGTTCAGTTCCATTCTGTGGAAGGTTGGAGGTCTTGTTGTCTTTGCTGGCTAATGGCTAGGGGTCCTGATCAGCTACTAGAGGCTGCCTGTATTCTTGGGTCTGTAACCTTCAATTTCAAATCTCACAATGGCCCCAAGGCTTTCATCCTCTCAGACTCTCTACAACATCTCCTCCCTGCATTTGCCTCATCTCCCCATCCTCCAGCTATAAAAAGCCGTAGGAGTTCAAGTTTTCATTTAGTCAGACAACTCAGGGTCATCTCCATATTTTAAACCCCTAACACTTAAAGTTGAAGTAAAGCAAGGCTCTGATGGTCAGTCCAAATAACCATGGGTCTCCTCTGGTAACATTTCTTAAAAAGGCAGACACTTCAAACATACAAATAAAAAAGTGCTGTGAGTTCAAAGAAAACACTGGTGATTGTGTTATCAGGTACCTGGAACATAAAACCATAAACTCGGGATGTTGGGCCTAGGGCTGGGGAGATAGCTTAGTCAGAAAAGTGATTGTGTTATATGCATGGGGTTTCAAGTTTAATCCCAAGGACTCACATAGATTTCAGGTGTGGTAATATGCACTTGAAATCTCAATGTCGGGGAAGTGGAGACAGCAGATCTTTGGAGCTTGCTGGCTAGCCAGTATAGACTGATTGGTGAGCTTCAGGCCAGTGAGAGACCAGTGAAAGGTGAACAGCATTCGTGAGGAGGAAACTTTAAGTTGTCCTCTGGCCTCCACAAGCATGCACAACATGTACTCCCCACTCACATGCATACACACACATACATGTGAAAAAAATGTTGGGGAGGAAGCCATCTTATATGGCTCCTGAGTTTGCATCCACCAGGATATTTCAGTCCTGTGGGCTACATAATGTTGGGTAAGTTTCCCAGTTACTCAAGCTCCACACTCTTGTTTTGTGACATGGAGATCATAGTACTATGCACCTCAGAGGGCTGGTGAGTAGATGTCATCGTAGTGGTGTAGGAACATGGCTTGTGAGAATTAAAAAGTTTGGCCTGAGCATCTTCGAGTTGCTCTTGTCAGGGTGCAAAGATCCAAGAACGACCTTTGCTATGGCTTGGCTACAATTGTTCATGCACTCAATAACTCATTTCCTGTGGATACATTTGCTGCATCTTGGCACTGTTACTGAGTCAGTTCCATTTTGCCCACTTGTAGTGTGCCAACCATTAAAATGATCATTTTAGAAAAAAATATAGTTCAGTCATGAGGTAGGTATGTTAGTCAGTTTTTTCATCACTGTAGTTAGACTCCCAACAAAAAACTTCACAGGGAGGAAAGCTTTATTTTGGCTCGAGGTTCCAGAGGGTTCAATCCATGGTTGCTTGGCCCCATGGCTTGAACAGACATCAGGGTGGTGAGTGTGTATGCTGGAGGAGATTTTTCACCTCATAGTGGACAGGAAGCAGAGACAGAGAGGGGCAAGGGAGAGCCACCAAAGACATGGCCCCAGTGGCCTACTTCCTCCATGGGTCTCCTCTGGCAACATTTCTAAAGAAAAGGCAGATTCCCAATACACTAATCAAAGTGTGCTGGGGCTTTAGGTCCCACGTCCTGAAATTCCAGAGCCTCCCAATGTAGCGCCATCAGCTGGGGACCAAGCCTTTAGGGAACACATGAGTCTTGTGAGGTTGGGGGCATTTCATATCTAAATCATAAGAGCAGCTGAATATATGATGAGAGAGAAGATCTTAACTCTTCCTCCCCAAGGACAAGGACTGGGGTGTTTATGGGCTGCGATGTGTGGAAAGATGAGAGCAACTAACATCAGCTGAAGTGGATGAAGACTTGAGGCTTAAAAAAAAACAAAACAAAAATAAAGAAGCCTTCCCCACTCTGAGACTGCCTTTCCTTGAATGGTTTCAGGAGATCTGAAGTGCAGACTTCCAGTAAAGGGCTCTCTCCAGGAGCAGTAACACAACATATATATTTTCTGTCTACCACAGACCACAGAGGATGAGCCTTCAGAAAAGGATGCCCTGCAGCCTGGCTGCAATATCGTGGCTGCGGGTTATGCACTGTATGGTGGTGCAATCCTGGTGGCTCTTTCCACGGGACAAAGGGTGGACCTCTTCATGCTGGACCTGGTAGGAACTGTTCCTGGGGACCCCATGGGATTCCGTGTTTGAATTCTTGTCCCCTGAGATAATTTCCTGCACATTTTGAGTATTTTTTTTTGGAGCTAGAGAGTCTAGTTTGGGAAGCCACCACCATGAAAACTATTAAGAACCTTTGTCTAACCAAGGGGCATGTATGGATTTTTCCATAGAGTCAGTTCTACCAACTCTTACCCAGTCCTTAAGGAATTTGTTTTCTTTTAAAAATATATTTATAGTTTTTATTTTCTTTTTTAAATTGAACTTTTGCAATTGTCATACAATATAATTCAATGGTATTTAGATTCCCCTCCTCTATCCGCACCTTCTCTTATTGCCCCCCCCACCCAATATAACATATTCTAGTATATATAATACATATTATATATATATAAAATAAGGTCTATAGCATCTGATTTGTGTCCCCAAATGTCCTTCAGTGTGAGTCCATCCCCTGGAGCCTGGTTAACTTACCAAGAGTCCCATCCTTGAAAGGCACTGTCTCTGCCCCTCCCAGGGGCCATTGATTGCTGGAATTCCTTAGGTTGGGTTGGGGTTTCTTACTTTCCAGGGCTCAGGGATCATTGCAGAAGAGGGAGCAGAGAGATTGTAAGAGTCAGAGGTGGTGAATGACCACAAGGAAACAGAATTTTCCAGAGTGCTGGTCGGTTACTCCTGTGAACTCACACAATGGTGACAGCATGCACAAGTCCCATGCAAGTTCAAACCAGACAAAATCCCAGCATAAAAATAGATTTATTTTTAATTGGTACATAAAAACATAAAATTGCACATATCGACAGGGTACTATGTAATGTTCTACATAAATGTTTAAATAATGATAAACATATCTCTTTAAACATTTATTATTTCTCTTTTTGGTGAAAACATTGACTCCTTTACATAGCTTTTTGAGAAGAGTTCATTTTTCACAGATGCATTTAGCCTGTGTGGTTTATAGAACCTCATGATGTAACAATCCAGACTCAATTTCCAGGATCTTTAGAGCAGCCTTGTTCCTAGAACTCTATGATGGGATGGGCTCTGTGTCCTGTGCTGCCCAGTCCAGTTGCTTTTCACCTCTGTGGTGACCAAACATTTGAAGAGTGGCAAATGTAGCAAAAGGGGGAGTTTTCATCTATTGTTTTTAATTAATTAAAATAGCCCCATGTAATTAGCGGCTATCCTCGTGGGCAGCAAGGGTTAGAGGATTTTTCCTGATGTGCAGTACTCCTCAGCGAGGAGCATTATTGGTGGAAATGGTCTCTTTGGACTCTGTGTTACTCTTCACACTTCTCACAGTGACAAAAGGCCCAGCAGCAAAAGAGGAAGAGGTGCAGTGTCTGGGTAGATAGGAAATGTGAAAGCACAATCCAACTGAAGGAAGGATAAAGACAGGAGAGTTGAAAATGAGGCCGAGCTTTCATGACATGTGTAGATCAAAAACAATCAGGAGAAAATGTAAAAAACATTTCCAAGTTATTGCTTTTCTCCTTTATTTCTTAAAGGTATTTATTTATTATTTTATGTGTATGAGTGTATTGCCTGCATGTGTTTAAGTGCACCCCTGTTGTGAGATGCCTGTGGAGGTTTGAAGAGGGCGCTGGATTCCCCTGGAAGTGGACTTACGGTTGATTGTTAGCCACCATATGGGTGCTAGGAATCAAACCAAAGTCATCTCCAAGAACAGCCAGTGCTCTTAACCACCGAATCACCTCTTCAACCCTTTTCTCCTTCAAATGCTGGATGATTCACCTATCATTTGAGAGCTGCTTTGTCAAATATAGGGAGCTCTTGTGAAAACCCAAATTATGACTACTTCAAAGACTCCTGTTGGGAAACCCTGCTGTTAGGGTTGTAGTTTTCCATGTCCAGATAGCCCTAAGGGGCTCGGCGCCAAATGGAAGGACTCCCCTTTTCAGCAGGGGGCCTCCTGG